TCTGCCCTCGTGCGCACCTCGCCAGCGGCGCGGTCTCAGCAGCGGCCGACATCACCGTAGCCGTCAGCTCGGCGGCGGTCTCTCCCGTTGGCCGCCTGAGCGCCGTGGGCGGAGGGCGGCTGGAGGCCCTGTTTTGGAAGGCGACCGGTAGGTGTTTGTATTTTCTCAAACGCTCGAGGTCGATACGGATCCGGCTGCTTCCACTGTTCCCCCGCACTCGTCGGTTGGGTGCGACACGGGGGGGAAGCCGGACAGTCGTAAGCACGAGGTTGTGGTCAGATTCTTTGAAGTCGACACGTTTGACGGAGACATTACGCACGAAACGCCGGTCCGTCTGACGCATGAGGATGAAGTCGAGGCGGTACTTCTCCTTCCCCTTGTTGGAGCTCTGGAATGTGTACTGTACATACGTGAATTTCGCAAACAAGTGTGTTATAATAGGGGGATGAATCAGGTACTGCTGTAGCTACGGCTGCTTTCGTTCTCTATATGCGCCATGCATTTGCTCAAGCACCACATTCAGCAGCAGCGGCGGTATCCTCAGTCTCATATTGTTGGTTGAGGTTGAGGTTACAGCAGTACAAAGGCGGGAAAACTTTACCACTGATGACACGTTACGCCGGTGACCGGTAACCATTGGTGAAAACTGCTCTCCCATAAGGGTGCCACCAACCACACACCCGACGAACCAACTACCCAACACCTTCCTTCTACGCCTTCCCGGCAAAACATACAGATAGATGCACAAGACGGCTACCAAACTGTCTTGTTGAACCTGTCAGCCATGGGGGAGATATCGCTGGGTGCTGCTCGAGAAAGGTGGAAAGACAGGTAGCCTTCGCTGACGCCATTGATTCATTGCCAATCGTATATCTGGTAGACTCTTTTGTATCAATAGAGATGGATTCGATGGGCTATATTACGAACAGAGTATGTCATTTTCCGGCCCTGGCTCCGTCCGCCCGCCCATTGCGGGTGGACTACAAGTATTTCTGGGACGTTTGCGAATCTAAGGCTGGGGCGATTCGTTTTCTCCCCGTGAAAGGTAAACTAGGCGGGGTGCAGCAAGCCCGTCCTGGGCGTTGCTTGGGGCACTGGGTAGTCGGCTTCGTTAGGCCGAGAGTGAGAGGTTGAGAGAGAGGTGGAGAGAGAGTGGGAGAAGGAAGCTTGATTGGAGAGCGACGGCGGTAGCGGTGGAAGGAGAGAAGGAAGAAAGAAGGGCGCAACACGCACGCAAGCCTCATCGTTCCAACCGCGCCAAAAGGGTCCCCGTGACTGCACCGGTGGTACCCTTTAACACACGAAATTCCTAACACACATCCCCTTGGGATCCTCACGACCAGACACTGCTGTGAGTATATCTAACATCCCCCCTGCTCGCAAGAGTTTCTCACTGCAAACTTCGCCAACATCCGATATCCCAACCAAAAGACGTCTTTTCAAGAATATATGCCATCACGACTATACCAAAATACAAGAAAGAAAAATCGTTCATAGAAACATGAATGA